AAGTTCCATCGCAGAGACTTTTAAGCACGTGGACAAATCGACCCTTGGCGGATCTTTCCGATGTTTGGCAGATAACATAGAACGTTGTCTCCAAGCGGTTTAAGACCAGAATGGTGTGTTGCTCGTTACACATTCAAATGGTGCATGCCTTAACTGTTTACCTTGCATGGTCAAATTAGAAGTAAGTTCAATTCACAGGATTTATCATGCTAACAATTTTTAAGCTATCCAATAATATTCGGGTTATTGATATGTATATTCGGAAATGCTGCTTCGGTATTGAGTACACGATACGTTTGGGAGAGGGAATACGTCAATTTAATTTTTCAACTCGTTTTTTTTCGCTATGATTGAGAGTTTCAAATTCAGCATCTGCTTATATGGAACTTGAGTCATGATCAATCTGAATATAACGGCAAAGTTAGTTAATAAGCATAAGATTCGAATAAAATTTGATTCCAGACAAACAGGGATCGATCTGTGACTATGTCACTAGATGTCAATTAATTGATACAAGTCGCTTTGATTGGAGAATCACAAACATGAAAATCGTCGGTTATAAGTGATTTAATGAATTCTCTTGTCTTTGTATCCATCGTGGTCGTAAGATTATAAAAATGATAACAAACGTCATCTTGGATTAGCATAGTGGTTTTAAGATCGGCTTCGTACACCGTAGGTATCAGCTCTGAATCCCAGAAATTAAGAAATTTTTCGCAACCGCTTATTTACTTAAGGGATCAATTTACCTCACGTTGCCTCGGTGCTGACAGCCAAGAAACGGATAGATAGTCACTGATTTGCGAATAAAAGATACAGCATGATATTCTGGCGTGGTCATAATAGCCGTCATGAGGTACGGCCGTGAGGTCTGCTGCGACACCCTCATACGGCTACAATTCGTCTTGATCTGCTAGCTGTTTATTCAGTGTGATAATCAGTATAACATGCAATTCCTTTAAAAAAGTCAGGCATACGCTACGAAGTACAAATTTAAATTGCATTGCTCCTTTCGTTGCTGTGCAAGTGAGGTAACGCCGTGTTTCGCTTTTCACTTCTGATGTCATCCTTCTGATGCTGCCTAAATCTTCCTTCGGTACAGTAAGCGGTTTTCTCCAGTTCATTCACAACATTGTTTCCGGCTAAGTCATCCAAGGTTTGGAAAATAGATGGCGTTATGAAGGAACTTTGACATGATTTCTTTCAGGAAAAACCAACCCCAATCTTTCTGTTAGTGTTTTTGTTCAAAGTTCTGTAACTTAACAAATCCCCATTAAAGCACTGATTTCTCACTCCTCGGTTAACACTACCTCATTGGTTTGCAGTTGAAGGTTTATGACAAGCCGTCAAGCCTATGAAAAATGGCCGTTGCTCAATTGAGTTCTGACAAGCGATTTTTGCCGATTCTGTAGCATGCTATCAGCAACTTGAACGACAGAGTTCGATTCCTAAAGAATATAGAAATATTCAAAAGCTTAAATTAATTACCCGTGGTCCGAAGACTTTGCCTGCTGCTAGAGCCAATATAGGAACATTTATTTGAAATAAAGCGCAGGATTAAACGCTTTAAGGAATGTCCCGATTTCGCTGGGAGCCCAAATGCCATTACAGTCTGCACAGAGAGTTCACTTTCCAGTACATCATTGCTACTTACTCGGGCGAGTCAATAACGCCAATGCTGGATCGAATGAGGGATGAACGGCGATTTTTAGCATATCCGTTTGAGTTTCTTGAGAAACTTTGCTTCTGCCTTCGGAAATGGCACGAGGTCTACGTAAGTGTCTCCTGATTCCGCTTGGCTGGCTTCGACAGACTTCGCTGTTTACACTTCTCACTTCGCGAAGGGCAGTGCATGAGTTCACTAGCTCCTAGTCCCCGGTGCAAAACAGTGCCTATGCAGCATGTTTTCGAATTGGACCAATTCGTCAGTTTTAAATAGTGCGTTTACTAGTACCCTTTAAAATCTAACTTCTTAGTGTGTACCCAGTTTCTTAAATATTAATAAATGTCATTACTAATCATCAGTCAGTTCCGTTATCGTCTTCGACCTGTAGCTTTCAAGTCAAGATTTGAGAATTTTGGGGTACTTAACTAAAGCCACCAGATCAGCCTGAAAATCACGCCTTTTCTGCCTTACGGTGATAGTTTTCGAGGGGTTTCGTTACTTTCTCACCGTTGTCTCGACGGGTTTGTTTGGCACACATAGATCCAACCTATATATAAAACTGTCTGAGTCTACAAGAACGTAACTGTCGACCAAAGACTAAACTTAACATACAACCGTCGAAGAAGTCAAGGGAGCAGTGGCACAGTGGTAAGACTTCGGCTGCGAACGCTGATGGCGAAGGGTTCGATTACTGAGGAAGAAGTACTCTTAACCGCTAATTTTCTTGAGCAATGAATTCCTGCAGTGCAACCCTTCAAGAAACGTTTGGCAAGTCTCAGGGCAGCGACAGCATGATGTTGTTGTGTGACCACACCAGAATCGTCGCTGCTGTCTGATGCGACGGCTTCTTATAGCTGCAATTCGCCTTGCATTCTTACTGTCGCTGATAGTCAAGGCTTTTTAATGGGCAATTTGTACCATGCTGCAAAACTATTTTCATATTCAGGTATAATAGAATTATCTTAGTGTCATTAAATTACAAAT